GGGGGGGGGGTTGAGACAATGTATAGAGAACAAAGCTAGAGACAATCAATGTCCCTCCTGCACTGTTTGTTAAGTGCAAAGGTAACGCCTGTGAAATAGGTTTCAACAAACAGGAAACCTTTCCATAACATAACGTTTAAAATTTGCTATTTCAATTTGACAGCCCCGAGCAGTAGTCGTCCTGATTCAATCAATGGCCTTTGCCCTCCGTGTGTGTCGCTGGTAAATGTTCCAGTGCTGCGATACTTCGTCACACTGAATACCTTTCCTTTTTAATCTGCTTTACAGGAGAGGGATCGAGACCCTTCTCAGTCAAGGGGGCTCGTGAGAGGGCCTGAGGTCAGCAGCTGGAAAAGGGCATTCGGAGTCCCGTGTAGTCTGTCCCCTGGACTCGGACGGGTCGTGCCTCCTGTGGAGTGTGCCACATACTGTGCCACGTACCACTGGCAGCTCTGGATGACACTTCCCTACTCGGGAAACCAAGGCCCTCCAGGAACTCAGGCGTACCAAGGATGCTGAAAAGTATGCACATCGGCCCCGACCGAGCAAACCGGAATCCCCGTCCCGCTGGGCAGGCTCTCAGGAGAGCAGCACGGTCCCTTTTCATGCTCACCTTGCCTAGCAGGAGGAAAAAGGTGGCCAGATGTTGGAGTCTAAAGAAATTTCACAAAGTATTGAGTACAAGAGCCTGAACTATAGTGATCATAAATGGCAGTCATTCTAGAAATAACTTTTGTGTAATCTTTTATCAAGTAAATGAAATTATTTTTTAGATGTTTCAATAGGAGTTTTGTCCCATTGGTTTATATTAATTATTTTCAAATAAAATCAATGGGTTATTTGGAATAAACTGGTGAAGCTTCCTGATTAAGGTGACATGTGATTGACTAGACAGGTCCCTTCTCTGAGGAGCAACAATCGGTGACCAGGATGGTGACGAGCCAGAGCGTCAAGCGTCTCTGCCAGAGAAGATCCCTGGGCTGAGCCGCGTGTCCGTTTTAGACGGAGCGGTCCAGGGAGTAGACGACATAAAACACGGTGCTGTTTTTCCACAGGATTCCAGAGGAGCAGAAATAAACGTATAATGGAATATAATCCAGCCTGTTGTAGGCAAAGCAGAGGAAAATCTTTTGTGACCGCTGGTCACCGGTGACAGGTACAGATATTGAACGGGCCTAAGACAACAAACACAGGTTGCGCAGAATCCGATGAAAACTAAAGCCAGCCACCCCGGTGGGGAAATCCTTGCCNATAAAACACGGTGCTGTTTTTCCACAGGATTCCAGAGGAGCAGAAATAAATGTATAATGGAATATAATCCAGCCTGTTGTAGGCAAAGCAGAGGAAAATCTTTTGTGACCGCTGGTCACCGGTGACAGGTACAGATATTGAACGGGCCTAAGACAACAAACACAGGTTGCGCAGAATCCGATGAAAACTAAAGCCAGCCACCCCGGTGGGGAAATCCTTGCCCTGGTACTTGCCCTGGCGCTCAGTGCTCCTCTCCGCTGTGATGATGACGGCGTTACTTCCCAGGTGCCGCGCAAATTTCTCCCCCTGGCGGCCTTGGGCGGGAGCTCCCGGAAAACCGGCACAGGCTGAGACACTGGCACACGCCAGGCTCTCTTTGCCCCTTTCCTTCCTTCTCCGACGTGCAGGGCATCAAAGGGAACAGTACATGAAGGCGAGCCGGCAACCACGGCGGCCCATTGAACGCTGACTGTGCGCGAGGTCGAGGGGGCCGGAGGCCGCGGGTCCGTGCGCCGGCTTCTCTCAAGGGAAAAATATCCGCATTCTAAGGGCTGTTAAAAATGTAGAAAACTTGCCCTGTTACCATGGGTTTTCAGAACACCTCTAAACACACACAAAATAAGACAGGGATTACCTACAAATGTCAACCATCGCTTAAACTCTAAAAGCATTTTTTTGTATTACTTTGTTTCCGTACAGAAGGGAAAACTCAGCTATAAAGAAATATTAAAAAGTAGTATTACTTGTGTGTGCGTGTGCGTGTGTGTGCGTGTGCGCGCGTGTGGCAGCCAGTCTCGAGGGTTCTCTGCCGCTTGCCTCCCCCAGCTTGTGCTGATGCTCTGAAGGGTGTGCTCTAGAGTGTGAAGCGGGAGCGGCCCGGCCCGCCCC